GTTATATAGTTATAGCTAATAAAGGCATTGCCACTGAAATCTGCCAGATTTCAGTGCTCCAATATTTAAAACTTTTGGTCATGAAAATACTAATGTCATAATAGTGGTAACATATTGTTGAAATAACTAGTTTAAAGGAGTGGCATCCACTTCCTAAACAACATGCCTTTGGAAACTCTATGAACTTTGATAAATGTTAATAGTTGTAGAGGGGCTTCAGGCCTTTTGTTCATAGGGTCGCTATGAGTCATGTTCAACTCGAAGGCAATCAACAGCAACAATTTAAAATTGGTTTCATTCTATGCTTCCTTTCAATTAAGTTCATTTTATTTCAAAATGTCTGAATTGAATTGATGAACATGCAAGAATTATCTTGATATAAGTAGAACATTCATAGACTCAACAATGAAAATAAGAACTTAATCGGTTTGAGATAAATTCTAAATATTGGAACTCTATTCCCAGACCCTCTTGACATTTTCACAGAAGCCTGGGAATTAAAAGAATATGTTCTTTATAGTGGATGTAAATACCAGAATTGATTATTTTTCATATTCTAACATCATGTGATTTACTATTAAGAAAATCTGAAAATACAGAAATGAGAGATGTAAGGAAAAATAACTTGAATCCTTAAAACAGGCCTACCCAACTAGTTTTTTCATTTAGATTAATTTCAAGGTGAAATTAAAGAATGCAAATATATTAACCAATTTTTACCTTGTAGGAACACCAGCAGGCAAAATCAACTCCCCAGTCATGTAAGTGGAGTTCAACATTTCCAACAGCATGTGCTAGATCAAAGCCCACAAAACAACCCTGGGGAAAAGCAGAGGCATGTTTCAGATGTTCTTAATGATTACAGATAGCTAATACAAATAGCTTTAGGAAGATATTTGACAGTCTGCTATACATGCATACGATGCACTATTTTAGGCATTGGTTTGCAGAGTGAACCAGGCAACTCTCCTTACTCCCCAAGTCAAAGAGTTTCCATAATACTTCCACAGCATGGTGTCTTTTTCCAAAGACTGACTCTTCTTTATAGGATGCCCGAAATATGTGAGATGTAACTTCTCTATTCTTGTCTCTAATGAGCAGCTGTGAGGAAATTTACAAAACATGCATTCTTTGCCTTTTCCTTAGTGTTGACATTTGCTCTAATAGTGTGAAGTGTGAAAACTCTTACACCTCAGCTCAAATCAGGCCAGTGGCATCAAATTGTACTGGGGACACCAGCAGTCTAAAACAAAACCAAACAAATGTTTTACTTAAGAATGCTTCTTCTAAAGCTGTAAAAATTGCTTAGTTCTCATATTTTTTTCTTCATACTCCATATGGGAAGCACTTATAAAACATTTGGCTGCATTTCAGGTAGAATGGTCATCTTAAAGTACGACACTTGCACAGTTATTTTAGTTATGAACTGAACTAGCCATTTTTCATGATAGGAAAGAAGAACTGAAACTAAAAAAGAATCTGGAAGCCTTAGTGGTTCAATCCACAGGAAGTTATTCATCTAACCCAAAGTCCAGGCCTCTTCAGCCATTTGAATCAGCCAGTGGGCCTTTGAGAGAGATATGCACCATCTCTTCCCATGTAAGTTATATAGCCTTTGAAAACCTGCCCGAGGGTCAACTCTGAGTCAATTCTGACTTAACAACAATGAGAGTAAGTTTTAAGTAAATGACAAGCAAGCATTATTCAAAATCAAGCATTTGAGATTTTTTTAAATAAAATGTTTCAAAGGAAACAACATTTTGTAATCTTTGTCAGTGGTAAAATTAAAATCTCCAAGAGAAAATTAGAATTGCAGAAAACTTGCAACCACTTCCATGAATATAGCTACTTCCCAGCACCTTCTCATGCATGGATAAGTTTGTGTCTTAACAAAAGATAATTTTCATATCACAGAATGAAATATATCAATATTTGGAAAATCTGCATAACTCATACACTAACTTAAGCCCAGCCCGGATCAGATACTAACCACATCAAGTCTTAACCCCGCTGGAAACATGTGAATGAACTAAACTGAGTCTAACATGATCCACCTACCCGAGTATTTCCTGGACCTTGAGTCCCCAGTATGAATTATATTTAAACTATTATTATTTTTTAAGCACCAAGTTTAGGATGATTTATTACACAGAATTCTTAGGACAAGCGTTAATTGATACATGTATTCAGTCCCCAAAAGGAAAGAACTTACATTTGAAACTACATTATTGTTCTTCTTATATTAGTGCTATCAAATTGCAACTCATATCAACTCCAAGAACAACATAGCTAAACCTTCCCTCTCCTGTGCCACCCTCACAATCTCTGACAAGCTCAAGACCAATGTTACAATCACTGTGTCAATCCATCCCTTGAGAGTCTTCATCTCTTTGTTCATTCACATTTCCAAGCATGTTGTCTTTTTTCCAAAGACTAGCCTTTCCTGACAACATACCCAAAGTAAGTGAGAAAAAAGTGTCACCATCCTCACCTCTAAATAGCACCCTTGGAAGCAATTTATGTAGTCCTAGAAACTGAAGCTGTCATTCCACTGAGGGGAATGTACATTTCATACACACACACACACACACACACACACACACACACACACACACTATTAAACCCAAAAGATGCAAGGTGCCAATTAATTAAACATTCTATTGCAATGAAGTAAGTTGTGACTTATGACAAACCCACATGTCATAAGACCAGTGATCTAACCCCCCAGCTCAAACCAATGTGTTAGGTGAGAACTGAGCTCAGGTAGACTTTTGTTGGCTGTAATTTTCACAGAAGCAGATTACAAGAACTTCCTCTCACAGGAACCTCTGGGTGGGATCAAATTAACAACCTTTAGGTTAGTAAAAATTTGGAGTTTGTTTTTGCCACTCAAGGGACATAGTTATTGTTTCAGTCTTCCTTAGGCCTCGTGTTATTAGAATAAAATTAATTTCAGTGTAAATCTATGCTTAAAGTTGCATACTTTTGGGATATCTCCTTTATATCAGCCTGCTCTTTTATGTGATACTTAATTTTTTTGAAGTTTCTGACCCAATGATAGAAGAATAAATTCATTTAAGGAGAGATTGTTATAGTTATTTTCAACTTCATGTAGTCTTTTTTTAAAAAATACATATAAACTTTATACTTAAGAGTCTAAAGTCTCTCCAACCCTAATTCTTTTCTGTCTTTCTGAGTTACTTTCTTATCGTATGATATCAATGAATTTGTGTTCTATTTAGTAGAACTCACACAATTTTAGTTTAGGAAAAACTCTAAATCTTTGTTTCTACTAAATTTCCAGAAGAATGGCCTGGAGTAATGAATATGTATTATCCAAAATAGACCCAAATGCTAGTTTTCAAATTTAATGTTTTACCATAAAAATTATGTAACTTAGTATATTTACATTTTAAAATAAATTTTATTTAATATATAATGATTCATTCCACTTTAAAAGAAATACATGCATGAAGATTAATTTTAAAATAAGTAAGTTAGCCTTTTATAGGGATGATAGCTCACTTTGCAAAGTATTCTACCACTGGCTTCTTCCTTGTCAGTGTACTAAATGCACAATTTATAATTTAGATACATTACCATTTTAGATTTCCTGTAACTCTGAGAGAATACCTACCTGTTCTCTGGTGCATTCTCACACGTGGATGAGTTTGAGTCTTAACAAAGATGAGTTTTGTTAGTGTGTGAATTACTCTGTTGACACTTTTTTTAAACTAATCATTTGGCAATAGGGCTTACAAATTTCCCAAAAATTCTTTCTTTCACATTATAGTAACAGAAATAAGAGCAGGTGCAACTAAATCTATATTGCCCCTAAAGCTGTTCTCATCATAACATATTTTTTTAAAAAAATTCAAAATCAAACTCATTTCCATAAAATTGGAAATAACTCACAGTAGAATCTCCAAGGAGTTTTATGAAGCTGTAAATCACATGTGAGGAGATTGTCTATCTTTTCATTTTGGATCCACTTATAGGTTTATGACCATCAGAAAGATGTGTACCTTTATGTTAGCAATGTAACTCTCTAACAAAAACACCTCTGGTATGCTGTATCAGTAGTACAGAAATAATTTTGTGGATAGAGTAGGGGAAGTATAGATTTATGTTTACTTGTTGTGATTTTCTGCCTCTGAAAACATGCTAGAGACTCAACTACAGGTAGATCTTGACTCGAGAGTGAATGACAACAATAACAACTTTCTCTCTCTCTCTCCCTGTCTCTCTCTCTCTCTCACACACTCACACAAGTATACACATAATAATAATAAGAAGTTACTGTAACACAAATTATATTATGGTAGGTGTTATTATTGGTGTTACACGGATCTTAGCTGAAAGCAGAGAAAACCAGAAAGATTTATATCTGTGTTTTATTGACTTTGCAAAGGCATTTGATTGTGTGAATCAGTTATCTTTATATGTAGTAATTATTGCAAATAAAGATTACCTTGCTGTTGTTGTTATGTGCTGTGAAGTCACCTGTGACTCAGCAACAATATGAACAGCACCTCTGAAGCCTGTCTTGTCCTGAGCCGGTCTCATTGACTCCAACACACAAACCCCCATCACTCTAGTTACTGTATCAATCCATCTCATCTGAGGTCTTCCTTTGCTTTGCTGTCCCTCTACCCTTCCAAGCATGATGTCCTTCTCCAGAGATTGGACCCTCCTGGCCACGTGCCCAAAGCATGTGATACAGAGCTTGAAAATCCTAGCCTCCAAGAAGAAACTTGATTTTACCCTCTGTAAGACAGACCTATTTGGTTTTTTTGGCAATCCACGGTATTTTCAAGACTCTCGAGCACCACAATTCAATGGCATCAATTCTTCTTCTGTCATCTTTAGTCATTGTCCAGCTCTCTTATGCATAGCAAGTAATTGTGAAGACCATGACCCGGATCAGGTGCACCTTAGTCTCTAGACTGACTTAGAAAATATTCAGAAGAATGGAAAGCCCAGAAAACTTAATTGTGCTCATGTGAAATCTATATGGAGAGACCAATAATCTACCGTCTAGACAGAACAAGGAAATACAGAATTAGGAAGGGTGTACATTAGGATTATATCATTTCTTCATATCTATTCGATCTGTATGCTGAGCAAATCATTTGACAAATTTGACTCTGTGAAGAAGACTGTTGTATCTGGACTGAAGATAGACTCATTAACAACTATTATGGAGATGACACAACTTGGTTAACTGAAAGTGAAGACTTGAAAGACTTGCTGCAGAAGGTCAAAGCCTTCAATATGGATTGCATATCAACATCAAGAAAATTAAAATCTTCACCACTGGAACAATAGGCAATGTTAAGATGGAGAGAGAAAATATTTAAATTGGCTTGGAGTCATAATTAACACTCAAGGTATCAGCCATCAACAAAAAAACAAAAGACGTTGCATTTGCAAAGTATGCTGTTAAGGACCTCTCCAAAGTGCTAAAGAACAATGATGTAAATGTAAAGAGTAAGGTGTGCCTGATTGAAGCCATGGTTTTTCTCTTTACCTCCTGTGGAAAGTTGGCCAATCAGTAAGGTTGACAGAAGAATCAGTTGTGTTTTTGCAAAAGAGTACTGACTATCCCACAGACCGTCAAATAGTCAAATATGTTCTGGAAAAAAGGCAACCATGGTGTTCCCTAAGTGCTCCAAGGATGATGAAACCTCTCACATACTTTGATCGTGGTGTCAGAAGGTGCCAACACTTAGAAAATTACATCATGCTTGGAAAGGTGGAGGGTCAGAGAAAGAGAGGGAAATCCCCAACAAGACAGACTGACACAGGACAGTAACAAC